GCGTATAGCCGCCCGGCTATACTGTTATAATTTCTATTTATGGAGTCTAGCAGCGTGGCTATACTTTTATAATTTGTTGTATAGAGAGTATAGCCGTGCGGGTATACTCTAAAATATTCTATTTTTTCACCAAAGAAACAATAATTATATTAATAATATAATTATTAATTAAAGTTTTTTCTTTGTTCGAAAATTAATTAAAGTAATTGAAAAAGACTAAGATATTACTTCATTACATATATTAAATTAAAGAAATTGGCAAAAAAAAAAGTAAAGAAACTAATTTTATACTTTTAACGAGTACAGCCGCTCGGCTAAACCGTTAAAATATTGTATTTAAAGTGTATAGCCGCACGGCTGTACTGTTAAAATTTCTATTTATAGAGTAGAGCCATTCGGCTATATTGTAGAAAATATGATTTTTAAAGAGTATAGCCGCGCGGCCCGACTGTAAAAAATTTATACTTATCGGCTATACACAGTCCTTCCAGGGTGAGCACTCGATTGTTAGTTCCCAAATTCCCCAGCTACAACATGATGCTAACTTCGAACCAGAATTCGTGCAGATATACAAGATCCGAGAATCTCCAGACTACCTTATTGTTCTTTTATCTCCCTGCAAATCAACATGATACATCAATTCAGATGAACAAAAATAGCACCAACCAATAAGGAAAGTCCCATATAAATCACGAATTTTTTCCACAATCTGGCAAGTTTTCTTTTCGTCTGTTTTGGACTTAACATCTAGCAAGTTTAACTAAACAAATTTCAGATTACGCCGAAACCTGACACAAAATTAAAGAAAAATGATATATGACCATTAAAGATTATGCCGAAACCTCTTTACATGAAAACTCTTCCACATCAAGCTGATTCCGAGGTTGAAGTAAAACCCAGTTCATAGGTGGAGACAATGCTATCCTCAAAAGATTCTTGTACGGTTACATCATTAATGGTTGAGGCATTTGGTGCATCTCTAGCATCTTTCAGTCTTTCTCAATCCTTCTAGCTCCATTGACACCTCTCTCATTGTTGGCCTCTTTTTTTCCATTTGATCTTAATTAAGCATCTGGTTGCCTGGTTGCAAGCCTTGCAATGGCATCAATATCCTTTGGCTCCGCTTCTCCAGCCAATCGAGGATCCAAAATCTGATGAACTTGATTCTCCTTTGCCAAATAAACGAAGTGCATGATAAGATTTCTCCCATCATCTCTTCTCTAGTAAAAGAAATTGGCTGCTTGCTTGTCAGAAGCTCTACAAGCATAACCCCAAAGCTATAGACGTCGCTTTTCTCTGTGAACCTATTTGACTGGAAGTACTCTGGATCAATGTACCCAAAAGTACCCTGCACTGTCAAGGTTAAGTGAGTTTGGTCATAAGGAATGGATATTGAAGTCCCAAAATCAGATACTTTTGCACTAAACTTGTCATCCAAGAGTACGTTGGACGATTTGATGTCACGATGAAGAATGGAGTTTGATGCTGCTGAGTGCATATATGCTGCCACATGCAATTCGTAGACGAGTATCCCATGAGAGGGCTGGTTTAAGCTGGTCTTTAGCATGAAGATGACGAGAGAGAGTTCCGTTGGAGACGAACTCATACACTAGTAACCGAACCTCAAGTCTCCAAGCAACAACCCAGCAATTTCACTATGTTTCGGTGATTTATTTGGGATAAGATGTGAACTTCATTAATGAATTGCTCAATTCTATTTTGATTGATTACTTTTGACCTCTTAACCGCAACTGTGCTGGC